AGGTTGCACTTAGGTACCATTAGGGTGGCCGAGTGATGCTAAACTTAAGTATTAGGAAATTCTATGTAATTATGTAGATATATAGTTTCAAGAATCTTAATAAAGTATTAGTGTAACTGCTTAAGGTTTAAAAAAAAAAAAAAAAAAAAAGATGGATACTAAACTTCTAGTAAACTTTATAAGAATAGAAATAATATAATATAATAATTAAATATATAACTTTTGTGACTGCAAGTATTAGATAACTATAACATATTGTATAAAACTAAGTTAGCATATGTAGAATATAGTAGGTTTTAGTAAGTTTTCTGTTAAGAATAAAGTAGTTTTAAGAGTATTAATTAGTATTAGAAACTTAAATAGGTAATGCTTTGAAGATGTTTTTGTAATACAAAAGAATTATATATGCAGAAGATTTAAATAGACAAACCTGTAATTGGCTTGCAAGTATGTCATTTAGTATAGAACCTGTATAGTAATATATAATTAAACTACTTAAATTAGACATTAAAAGTATACATGTGACTATATAGTTATAATTTCTAATATAAGAGAGCCTCTTGAAGACCTGTATTTTACATAAACTTGAATAAAAATATTATTTATTAAAGATAAAAACTTTAACTTAAAAAAAATAATATAGACTTTTGCTTTTTGTTAGAACTATAAAAACTACAATAAAGCGTCTCTGATGTTCTTATTAAATATTTTTTTTAGTAGAAAAAAGAACATTTAATATTAGATATAATTAAAATATTTTTAGTAAATTTTAATGATTATTTTATTAATAATTTTTATAACAAAATATAAGCAAATACATTTTTTAGTAATAGTATTGATATTATTATTAAACAAACTTGTATTTTGGATAAAAATAAAAATCAAAAAAAATTTTATTTAAAATAATTTAATTAATACAATTAATTATTATTTATTTTTTTTAAAAAAAAAATAAAAAATAGATGCAAATAAAGAATTATTATTTAAAAAAACATTCTATACAAAAAAAAATATTCATATATAGAGGTGTGGCGACCTAGTGAAGTGGTCAGGTTGTCAACCCCAAGTGGCAGATCCAGAGTTCAAATCCCAGTGTCGACGGAAAATTTAAAAATCCTCTCTGTATTACGGTTAACTGTCTCTCGCAATTGGTTGAGATAAGATACCTGTAACCTGTGACACACCAGCATGACTGGCAGGTTACATGGCATTTGTGTAATAGTTACATGACATTGTCCTTTAGGACAAGGTTTGTAGTTACACAGAGGAATGCAAACCGGTACCAGGCAGTGCAAACTTACAATAAGTCCTTGTGGTCATGTAAATCATAAGAACCAATAGAAGAAGATGGAAGCCTACTTGGAAGATCTGAGTAAAGAGGTAATCCAAACTTTTGACGGTGCTACTGTAAAGACTAGACTTGTGAAACGGAGCTAGAACTTGTGAAACTGGGCAAATGTGCTGGTTCTTGGGGAGAGACCGAATGAATCAACCAGGCTGTCGGAATTTCCGGATTCTGGAGGAAAAGGGTACATGCCAGCAAACATGTAAACCAGAGGTATGGTCTCGCCCTACCTTTCTGGGCTATCTGGAATGACAGCTTAGTGGAACTTGAATTGAATACCAAAGTAGTAAGGATATGTTGTGAAGTTAGTACTGGGGTTGGGGTGAACTCTACAAGGGCAAAAGCGGTTTAATGATACGCCCTGACCACCAGTGTTGGTCTCGGCCATAGCGATACCAGGTCAGCTGTAAGAATAGAATATAGAAGATTCTGAAAGGTTTAGTACAAGGTTAAAGGTTCAAAGAAACTGCTTTAAAGACTTAGCAGCTATGGCATATTTTCACCGACATTGGCTGGAGTTGTTGATAGGCAGAGGTAGGTGGGTAAATACGGAAACAGAGTGGTTAAATAGGGAACCTACAAGTGGGTTCCAGGTATGGCAGCTAGTGTAGAACCTTCGGGCGGACTACTTAAATTAGACAATGACTAAAGTTGTACAAGTGACTAGTTGTATACTCTTCCCATGGTTGCCCTCTGTGGTTGTAATACAACCATTAGCTAAATATACTATTAATAAAATCCTGGGTCACAAGTACTTACCTTAATATTTTTTTAAAAAAAAAAAAGATAATCATATATAATCTTAATCTAAAATATTTGGTAAATAAAACATTATTATTTTTGTTAGATTATTTTTATTATATGTTTTATTATATTAAGACAGTTAGTAATATAATAGACAATTTATAAAAAAAACAAAAAAAAATTTTAAAATACAAACTTGCTGTTTTAAATAAAAAGATCAATACTATGTTTTTACATATAAGTTATAATACAAGTATTTCTTTTTTACAAGAACTTTGTAATAACTGTTTTTGATAATGCTGTTTTAATTTGTGATTACAATTTTTACTAATACTGTTATAACAAGATAGAATATAGATGCCAACATTGTGTACAGTACTATAAGAATAAAATATACAAAATGTTAATTTATTTTTAAAAAAACTTGAAAAAGAAGCAAATAATATTACTAAGAACAGAATTAAAAAAGAATTACAAAATTTTAAAAAGACAAAAGATAACATAAAGAAGTATAAGTTTATTTAAAAAAGAGATAAAAAAGATGTATTAAAATTATAAAATGTTTTAAAAAATGTAGATAAATAATAATAAAGCATTATATAAGTATGTCTCACTAACTTTCTTACTTTCTAAGTTGTAAAAGTTACTACAGTATTTATATCTTCATCACCTTTTACATATAAACCAGCTACTTCTAAATACTTGATCTAACTTAATTTAAAAGTTTTAAAAAACCCATAAAAATATAAAGAATGTATTAATAAAAAAAATTTTTTTATTATATAAGTTACTTTAAAAGTTGTTATATTACTAATAGGAATTTTATATATGAAGGAAAGTCAATAAAAAAGAGACAAATTTTTTTTAAGTAAAAGTTTTCTTGACTTTAAGCTTAAATATCTTAACAACTATTTTATTAAATTTGATAAATTTTTATTTATTTTAGTTCTATATAATTTCAAAATTAAAATAAAAATATTTTTAACAGATTTGATTAAATAGTTGTTGAGTTATTTAAATTTAAAAATTAAAAAAATTTCACTAAAAATGATTTGTCCCTTTTCTATTGACTCTCCCCATATAATGATTTCCGGTTCATTGGCCAATCATATTCAATCTGATGATCAAAATCGATGACCAATCAAAACCAATTCCCATCATGCTGGCCTTAAAAATTGTAAGGGGTAGCGGTAGTAGGTCTTTAATCTACCGTTACGCAGTACGATATTCCCAAATAGGATAAACTACGGCATACGTAGATATTTCCCTCAAAATGGCATGTCTATTTTTTACCTGTCTTAAACTCTTCTCATGTCAGATCAAAAGATAAAAATCCTGTTTGTGTGTTTAGGTAATTGATCATAAAGGAATTACTACGCAAATATGATATTTAACGGGTATTTTTTTTAAATCTTTAGGTAATATTTGTCGAAGGTAATTTAATAAATTTATATTCTAAATTCTTGTGTTATATATTTCAAATTATAATTTTTTATTTCGATTCACAAAAGTCCTATGGCCGAAGCTGTGTTTGCTCATACTGCACTGGTAATTCTTCAATTACATTATATTTACGTATTCATCTAAATTGTTAATTAAGCATAATCGAATATAGCAAAAAGGTCTACAATCACGTTTCATCGTTGATAGCGCGGGGACTGGTGCATATCATATTGGTAAATAAAATTGGGTATTCTTTCTAATTACATTAACTGTTATAGGACATTTCTTTTTATAAAGGCTTGAAACTGTTGTCTATAATAAAAATTATAGTACAACATATGAATTTACTATAAACTTCGAGCTAAATATTTACCTAACTTAATTAAATGTAAATTTTACGATTATATAGAACAAAGAATGAAGAAAAATTTAGCTTAAAAACCAAGTTAAAATTTTGCTAATTTTGTATAATTTTAAACTGTAAATTTATCAAAAATAACATTCAATTTTTGTAAAATTATGTTCTGAACAACTTTACTTAGAAGACAAATAAATAGATTATCTTAGTAAAAAAATAAGTTAGCTATGTATATACCAAAGTTAAAATTTTTTGTTTAACTATATGAAAAATTTTTTGCTAATTTTACATATAGTAATCATTTTAAAATTTAAAAATTGTTATTTTTGATAAAGTTACAGTATAAAATTATACAAAATTAGCTAAATTTTAAAGCTAAATTTTTCTTTATTCTTTGTTCTATATAATCGTAAAATTTAATTTAATTAATTAGGGTGAGGTAAATCTTCAGCTCAAAGTTTATAGTAAATTCATATGTTTTTTATTATAATGTTTTATTATAGACAACAGTCTAGAGGAAATGCTCTATGTCTGTTAAAATTATAAACGACTAATGTAATCATATTTAGGTGAACCACCTCATCCTCGAACGGTTAAGTTATGCACTGACAATGGTATACATATAGAACATACTGCAAGAAAGGTTCGTAATTTACTCATCATTTCCGTGTTTTTGATATATTTTAAACGTAAATTAAAAACATTTATTCTTTTCAAAGATAAGAGTAAATGATTTTGATGAATTCGATTATATTTTTTGCATGGATGACATGAACTTAAGAGAAGTTAAAAGGATGAAGAAGTCAACTAAAAATTCAAAAGCTATTGGTACTTTTACAATTTGCTTTTGCGTAGTTATTTCATACAGAGTACTAATTTTGCGATATTTTATAGTTAAGTTATTTGGTGAATATGATCCACAAGGACAAATTACTATAGATGGTGAGTATATTTTTATTTGGAAATTCAGTTGATTGGTTCATATTAATAGATATTAATATATTATGCTTACTTTCAGATCCTTACTACTCTGGAGAAGAAGCTTATAGGGACATTTTTGTGCAAATTACTAGGTGTTCGGAAGCATTTTTACAAAGCTTAGAACTTTAAACTCTATTTTCATTTATTAAACCTGAGTAGCTTCGTTAATAATAACTATTTTATTCGAATAAAATAATCTAATTCATAATGAAATTGCAATCGTTTGGTTTGGACATTATATATTATTAAAATATATACATCAGCACTTTTAATAAGTAGCGATTGCTATATATATTAGATCCAATCATCGTCACTAACAGGTTGAGAGGCATTGGGCTCTTCTGGCGGTGCAGGTGGGAGCTTGCAAAGTTCAAGAAATAGGCGTAACGTATAATGTGCATCATTTCCTTTAATAATAAGATAAAATAATCGACTTAAAGTTAGTAATTATATTAGGGATAATTTAAAAAAATAAATTATTCTTACCAGCGTTATGCAAGCTGTAATTTTCAATATCCAGTTCATCTAACAATCTTCCAAGATTAATTCGTTCATTCGGTTTCCCAACCCTTGCGGCATTCATGTCAGCGGTATCGAACCTTTCTATCACACTAGAAACATCCATTCCCATGCTCTCTATATACTTTACATCCGTCTTGATATCATGTCCTAAAAGAACTACATTTCCTCTTTGTTTTTCCAAATCTTTCATGAATTCATCTTTGATCGTTTTCTGGTTTGCCCATACTGTGGTTCCAAAGGTGAATCGATCCTTCATGTCTGGAACGAATTGTCCATTTCTCAGATGTCTATAATCAGTCACACAGAAATGCCGATCCATGATTAAATCTTTCTTAGAATCGTACATACTCCATCCAACCTCCAAGATACAAGAATGATCTCGTTCATAACTTTCAACATCAACAGCCACAAATAAATATTTTTTTTCTTGAATCATATTTCGTGCTTTCTCCCACATATTTTTCATCCCACGAAGTTTGACTGCTGTACGAACTTTTTTGTTATATTTTTGTATATCTTTGGTAACTTTATTATACATAGATGGTGCATTAATGGATACGCGTACAACATCTGAATATGAATAATGTGAGGTGGGCATAGACGAAAAGGAAGTGGACGTATATGACTCCAACCCTGAACGAATAATTCTCACAGAGTTCTCAGAAAGCAACAAGTGACGACGCTCGTCTTCATTGCTAGTACCTATTTTGCGTCATAATTGTGGGCGAAGGAAACAATGTTATTTAATACATTATTACATGTAGGTAATGTGGCTGGAAACAGCATTTGAATCAACAGTGCAACATACAACTGTATGAAGCTGCAAAATATTTTTAAGTGTTTAATAATTTATCATAATACTTTTCAACTTATTGGTCCCATTCATAACTTACCAAGAAAGAATTCGAGCGTTGTATATTTATTGAAGAAATGTGAGGGTGCAAAAAACGCATCTATCTTTTTGGATATTTCGTCAGTCCTTGCTGCTCTGTTCCAATGCTTATTTACTATATGATATTGAATTAGCGAAACCTCAGCCATGACAAAGCAGGTTCGAATAACCTTAATCCAGTCTTCTAAATTTTTATATGGCCAATTAAGAATACAAAGACGTGTCGAAATTTTTAAAGGCATGGGATGACACAATAAGGTTAGCTAATCCAAAATAGGATGATGACTGCGCCACACATTTGGATAATTTTTTGTAAAAAACTTTGATTATATAAATATTTTTTTAAACTTCTTAATGAAGAAAAAACTCGAATATTGAATAAAAAAACTCAAAAAAAAAAAGTTATAATGATCACAAAAACTTCATTACCCGCCGAAAAATCGGTGTTTAAATGATCATATAAATAAGCAAATTATGAACAACCCGGTTATGATCTGATAAAATATACAAGATGTTTTTTTTTTCATGGTATACTATATTCAATGCGACATTATTTTTGCTAATTGAATAAAGACACATGTGTAAACATATAACGCCTTGAACCCTACATAAACAACAGAATGAAAAAATAAAAAGAAATATATTGTCCCATTATAGATTTGGGGAATCTTGTTGATTGTTCATTTAAAAAACTATGCAGCACCAAGACTTGGAAAAGCACTTTGATCGTCAAGGTTGATACCACGACCTCCTACACGACGACGATTATCACGATTCTCATTATCGTAGTTGTCACGATAATTATCACGCCTATCACGTTCACGCCCGTCACGATTGTCACGTCTTTCTCTTCCTCCACGGGCTCCTCCACCACGTCCTCGACCACGTCCACGTGGAAAGTTAGCTCCTGGTCTATCATAAGTTGGTTCAATTTCAAGATAATTTTTTGCTTTTGACTTCTTGGACTTGAGTCTATACGCTTGCTCCTAAAAATAGGCAATAGATAAAATTTTGTAGTATAATTTAAAATTTCTTACAAGTTCATATGGGTGACGACAAAGAAAAATCAGACTTCGATCATATAAAACTTATATGATCAAAGTCAGATTTTCCCTTGGTGTCACACATATAAATTATTTTAACAATCCGTCCCACCTTGCCAGCGAAAAGGACATCTTCGTCATCTTTTTCCAAAGGAACCGCATCTTTCCATTGAGAATCATCTACACCTTCATTCGGTTTCCTAGCTTCAGGTAGAGAAAGGTCAAGTACCTTTTGAGCTTTTTCAGCAAGGTACTCATCAAAAGTCTTTTCAACAACAGCAGCAGTTGCTTCACCATCTTCAGCAGTTTCTTCTTTCACTTCCCGATTCTTAAATTCGGCTTTATCTTCAGCTGTAGAATTTTCATTCTCATTTACACCTGATTCCCAATTTTCGGTAGCCTCTACGGGTGCATCCCAATTTGATCCACCTTCTTTAGCATTAGACTCATGTGCATTTTGACCGTTAGCACCATCCCAGCCGTTTTCATTTGGACCAGGTTTTTCACTCTCATTTTTCCGGCTAGAAGAAGCCGGCGCATCGTTTTCCTTTGTTTCTCCACTCCAATTGTTTTCTGTTGTTTCATTATTTTCCCATGAAGTGGTAGCGTTACCCCAACTCTGATTTTCTTTTTTGTCACTGTCACTATATAAACAAAAAATAATAAAAATACTAATTAGTTAATTATTCAGTCTTATATATGTAAATTATAATTTAAATTAAATTTAAATCGAATATCTTTACTTACTATTTACCAGTGCCACTATGACGGTCGTATTCTCGTCCACGGCGGCTTCCTCCACGACCTCCACGACCTCGTTCGCTAGCTCTGGCACCGCGTGACATTCTATTAGGGTAATCACCTTCTTCGCGACGACCAGAAAGACGAGGACCAACATTGCGATCACGAGGTGCCGCTTTAGTCAATCAATTAGATCGTGCAAAAAATATTTAAAGCAAATTCATTACTTTGGATTAATCAAAAATGTTTCTAGATCCCCAATGCATGCGTAAAACATTTGTAAATATGCTAAGTATATTTATATATATTTTTTCTTTTTAAACGTTCTGACTGATACTGGAAATATATTCTTAAAAGCTTAATAGATAGATGTTTGTAAAAACATTCTCTATTTTAGCGCACCTTCTTAGGTCAGTGTACAGTCAGTTAAGTTAAAAATTATTTTTCTGCTTTTAAAATTTTTAAGCTTTAGATGCTTTAGATGCTTTAGATACATACCACCTGATCTCGTGTCCTCGTTCCTATTGTTGGTAGGAGCGGATTTAAAGCCTCCACGTTGAGGATATTCGTGTCTAATTCTGGCCTCTTTAGGACTTGCTCGAGACCTATCAACTTTCTTCTGGACAACTACCGTTGCTGCAGGTTCCTTTTTTGAGGATTCTTTTTCTGGTACAATTGGATCAATATCCTCATTATCGACAAGTATGTCGAACAAATTCCGACTCGCAACACTCGCCATTGTGTAGAAAGCGAATGGATGGATGGTTGAGGGACAATTTCAATTGGATTCCCGCGCCTTTTCCTTCTTATGAAATTTGATGATTGATTGATGTCACCTGACTTGTGCATGAGAATTTTCAGATGCTTCGGAATATAACCAAATGCAAAAAAAAAAAGTTTACCGTTTATAGAATCACTTTCTCGTGATTGGTTAATCACTTGAAATTTATTGTCCGGAGCAGAGGATTTAATGTGCTTTATGTCCTCACCTATTTTGAATCGTTATCGACCAATTCCTTATGTACTATGTTCGAAGATCAGTTATATGATAGCTTATGTCAAGCAAAAACGGACCCTCTGCATAGGTCCGGAACCAATAAATTGTAAAGTCATCGTGTAACAAAACAATGGTAGATGTCAAGATAACACGAAATTTTAATATGACAACTACCTTCTGACCTCTAAGTAAAAATGTGTGGACCGAAATTTTAATTATAGGATATGTTCTTTTATGTCAAGAATTATAAAATTTCTGATGTTATGACAAGGAAATTCATTGTTGTAAAGTCTATTGTAGTATGTGCTTTATCATGCATCAGAGATGCGTCATTTAATTTTATATTGATATAAATAGAGTAGAAATTAGTATTGATTACTTATTAACATTTTTATCAATAATCAGTTTTTAAATACAACATTTTTGTGTAGAAAGATTTTTTTTATTCAAAACTTTATAACTAGATTACTTAAAATTTTATTAGTAAGGTCTCAAATAATTTTTTTCTTTTTTTATATTTTGACAGTTTTGTTGATAATTTTTATTAAAATTTTTGTAGATTTTTATTGCATCAGTTAAAAATAAAAATGATTTCAATTTATTACAAACCAAATTTTTTATTTTTATACTAGCAGTAACCATGACTTTGTCATAAGAATTTACAAATAAGTTATTATTATAAATAAAATATATTTTTTTATTGAATTAAAAGTACAGATAACTTCCATCTTTTAATAAGGATGTTATCCAGTTCCAATAGACCCATGGTCCGTCATATGATCAGTCTGAACCTAAGAAAAACTGATCCTATTCGGTCTAGTCTTAGTCTAAAAAATTTTTAACCGGTTTAAGACTAATTACAAACAAGACTATAGTGGTCTTAAATTGTCTTTAAAACCATGATTTAAACCGTGACATGAACTTAATTTTAAAACCATAATTCAAATCTTGTCTTAATCGGTTCTAAAACTATGATTCAAATCACAGCTCCAAAACCATATCACAATTTTGAACCCGATTTAATTGTAGGGTTGAAGCTGATTTAAGATCATGGGCTGAATCACGATTTTTCAGACCATGGTTTGAATCATGGATTTGAAGCTGAGTTAATATCATGGTTTAAATCATAGCTTTGGAACCGATTTAAGACTATGGTTTGAATTATGGTTTTAAATTGGCTTCAAAAACCATGGTTTTCAAAACTATGATTCAAACTAAAGATAGAACCAAAACTGCAAGAATATATAATAATATCCACCATTTTATTGTGACTAAATTACAAGAATATGTGAAAGTCATAGTCATAATATTAAAATATGCGAAGTGTTCATGTTTATTATCTAATAATTATGTTACAAAAATAAGCTAGTTATTATACTACACACATCTCGCGAACGTAAACATGCACAACTATGACGTAAAATTTTTGATAACAAATCGAAGGTGCAAATTATGAAGTAACCAAAGTTTGCTCAAATGTTATTCTCTATGCGATTAGCTAATAAATGTGACGATGCTCATTTACTATAATCAACCAAAATAAGAATTGTAAATTGATTCTTGAGCGATTCATTAATATTTTATCAAAATGTCGTTATCACTACGTTTGGTTCGTTGATATTCGGATAAGATTATTTATACGATTACTTCAATTAATTGTAAATTTTGCCAAGCAAAAAAATGACTACCGTAAATGTTTATATATTGAAATGATAAATTCACGTATTAGTTTTTTATTAATAAAAATATATTAATTACGTAAATATTCATTACGATGTTAAATACATTTGATCTCCTTAAAATATTTTCCGCTAAGTAAAATTTATTCACCGACACCTTTTTGTTCCGTTGATTAAGGTGTTTGAGAATGCCCACAATCATGGTACAATTTATACCTTCTTTCTCACTTCAATATTTATCTAATTGTGAATTGCTAATTATCTTCGTGTTTTATTACTTTTAGTAGTATTAAGCACTATTATATATTTAGATATATTCTTAGTGGCCTTCGTGATGATTAGTCAAAATTATGGAAGGTGCGATTGTCATATTCAATGAAATCTTGTATAATATAAAATGTACATAAGTGCGTGTTGGTGAAAGGATAGGTATATGATTTCTGAATTCATCCCTTCAATAAAGATTACGTTAATGCTTCCTTTTACAGTGAACGCATAATAATTATAAAGAAATGAGTTTCATGGTTTTCGTCAGTTTATACAAGCAACTATCTGTCTAATCGCATGAAATCCTCAGCACAACTGTTTATCAATCGACCAGGCAGCTCTCCAAAAGTGCAGATCGACGTGCTGTCGCAACATAAATAGCCAATAGACGACATATCATAACTAGATCTTTTTTTTTGTTTTGAAGCCATTAGTTAGCATAAGTGTTGATTAAGAAGTTTGAGATTTAAGAGTAGAAGGTAATGTAGATTATTTTTTAATTTTTTTTTTAATATTAAGGTAAGTACTTGTGATTTAGAATTTTATTAATAGTATGTTTCAGTTTTGTAATTGTATTACAACAGTTACAAGAGACAACTATGGGAAGAGTGTACAATTAGTCATTTGTATAATTTTAGTTATTGTCTAATTTAAGTAGTTTGTTCAAATGTTTTATATTAATTGTTATACTTAGAACCTACCTATGAGTTTTTTATTTAAACATTGGTTTTTGTATTTATTTATTTATATATTTTATTAATTGTTTTAGTTTTTACTAATGTAAATATGTTATGATTATTAAGAATATGTAGATTATTTGTTATATATATATATTTATATATTTTTAAAGTGATCTTTTTGGTTTTTTGATTTTTATTAACAATTTTTTTGGTAATATAATTCTATGAATCATTACAGGAAAAGTATACAATTGGTTAAATGTGTAATTTTTTTATATTACTTATTTAAGAAGTTCACTTGAAGGTTCTTTATCAATTGTTGTATTTAATACCTTTACTTGGGTATTTTATTTTAAACTCTTCAAATTTGTAATCTGTGTTAATATTATTATATTATGTTCAAGTCATTATTTTAATTTTAAAATTATTTTATCTTCAAAATAAATCTTCTTGTATTTATTTTTATATTTGATTTAATATTATTAAGATAGAATTAATACTTGTAGTTAAAACTAATTATTAAATTATTATGTTCTTACAAAATTACTTAAACTTCAATATTATTTTATAATATATCTGAATTATTTTAATATATCTTACATTATTATTAGAAAAAAAAAATATTGGGTCAATTTAATATACCAATAAACTGATTATAGTCTTACATGAATTATCTGAATTGGAAATTTAAAAAACAAACAAAAATATATTAAAATACTAGAAATATGTTATTAAATAGATATTAAAATTTGAATAAACTCTACAAAAACATAACAATTAAATAATATAATTTTGATTGTAAATATTGATTCTATTATTTAATATTGAATTAATTGTAAAAATATATATAGAAGACTTTAAGAAATTTATTTTAAAGATAAAATAATCCTATGATTAAGATGATGATCTAATCATAACTCAGTAATGTTAATACAAATGCAGATTTAGAGAATTTAAAATAAAACACTTAAGCAGAAATATTAAATACAACAATTAGTAAAGAACTTTCAAATAAGCTTCTTAAATAAATAATATAGAAAAGTATGTGAAACTTATTGTATACTGTAATAGAATTTACTTTTTTTTTTATATTATTATATATATATATATATTTTTTTTTTTTTTTTTTTTTTTTAGGTTTAAAAAGTGATGTCTATGGCTTATGATTTTTTTATTAAGACTTACAACCTACAAATATTATAGAGAGGTATTACATTTTGCATATCAATGAGGCTACAATTAGCCACTCGTATAACTTTAGTCATTGTTTATTTAAAGGTTTTGCCTACCAGTTACCTACTAATTGTCATACCTGAAACCCACCTGTGGGTTTCATATTTAAAGTCTCTGATTTTTAATATTTTTTCTATAGTACCAACTTAATTTTTTAATAATGGATCTTATGGCTACTTTACCCTTGATGCAAACTCTACCGAATGGAAGTAGATCTCATGACTACACCTATTTGGATTTATGATATCAGAGGTGATTCCATATTAGGTAAGACCAATCCTTTCCACAAATGTTGATGACATTCTCCATATTTCTCACTATAGTAGTGCTCGTGCTCTGCCATACCGGTTTCCTTCCAGAAATTCCTTAGATCAAATATGTACCTTTACTTGGACTTTTACAGAACTTTGCATTCGATTATAGGCTCCATTTTTGGTTATAGAATATTTTATCTCCAGTCAGACTCGAACTATTGACCTTGTCTGTAAAGGAATGAGAGCTTAACAACTAAGCTATAAGACTTAACCTCTATTATTATTTATTTATTTTTAGCTCTATATTATATTTTATATTTTTCTTAATATTTTTACATAGTTTATAGATTATTTTATTAGTT